GAGAGGTCCCTGAGGTTGAAGACATAATGGAACTTGATGGCCGTGGGAAGAAACGTCGAGGTCACTTTCTGATGCAAGGCTGTTAGGGGAAAAGACATGGCTTGTGACGTGCGCCTCGTGGCCTCGGGGAGCACAGAGCTTAACGTTTCTCCAGCAAGTGGACCATGAAATGGTGGCAAAGCTGCAAAGCTCCCTGAGGAGCAGGGCAGCCTGCTGCTGCTGTGCTGGCTCGTGGCCCCGTCCCGGACTTCTGTGCTCCGCGTCCCTGAAGCACTTTAGTCACGTATCTCCTGCTGCAAACATTCACCGGGGGAAGTGTGAGGAACCGCCAGCCCCACCCAGCAGTGAGGGCAGGAGCTGGCAGCTTACCCAGGGCTGCAGCCACCAGCTGGCCGCTCATCCTCTGGACCACCATGGAGGCCGAGCGGTAGGACAGGTGCTGCATCAGGATCGTGCTGTAGATGGTCATGAGGGCGTCCTGGCCAGGGAAGCTCACGGCGAACACGCAGAAGTGGCGCTGTCCCGGGAGAACCAGGGTCTTCCGTCAGGCAGCTCTAGGGGACCAGCTGGTGGCCAGGGCCACCTTCTTGGGAGAGGAGACCCCGTCCTCACTGTCTTAACATCATCTAACTTTGGGACATGGTCAGGATGGACAGTTTTCCTCCTTGTGCCTTGCAGGTGAGGTCACATTAACGATTGATCGGATATGAAACAGCCCCACTCACTTCCTGCTGTCGAGAAGCATTTGTGGGGGCAGAGATGTGGCTCAGAGGGGGCCCGGGTCTGTAGCTCAGGTCTCCACATGCCTCCAGTATTTAGGGGTGAGAGCTGTCTGAGCAGGATTGCAGACAGGATGCTGGGTGTCCTACTAAATCCAAGCTTTAGATATGCCACAAATACAAAGGTCTTTTTTAGTCTAAGTATGTCTCATGCACTATTTGGGACATATTTATACTAGAAAGGGCATCTGTGGCCTGGCTGGAATTCGGACTTCACTGGGTGTCTGCATGTTTACTTGCCAGGGGGTCCTAAGGAGGGCTGGCCGGTCACTTCTCCTCCAGCCTCCCTCAGTCTCCTGACATTCTGAAAGGCTAGAGAGCCCCTGAGAACACCCCGAACCAATGCTTTTATTCTCAAGCAAGCCTCAGACCCCAGGCCGCGGCCAAGATGAGTTTGGTTCCTGCTCACCTGCAGTCTTGGATCAATGGTGAAGGATCCGGCGGTGGGGTTCATGCAAGCCACGTACTGACAGTTATGGACATCCTTCAGGGTCAGCTTCTGCCTGTCGTACCTGGGCCAGGGAGACCAGCATGACCACCCGGCCCCCAGGACCGCCGTGAATGCGGTTGAAGAATCTCAGTAATACCAACTGGATGACAAAGAGCCAATTTACCTCTTGCTTTTAAGGGAAAAAAATAATATTTTTTTACACTGGGGATTAAACTCAGGGGTGTGCTACCACCGAGACACACCCCCCAACCCTTTTGATTTCTTATTTGGAGGCTGGTTCTCAGTAGGGTGCCCAGGCAGGCCTTGAACTTGCAATCCTCCTGCCTCAGCCTCCCGAGTGGCTGGGATGACAGGTGTGCACCTCCACAACTGGCCTTCAAGAAAAAAATCTCAAACAGGCGGCAGAAGAGTGTCCCGTAATACAGGCCTGGGGTCACATCCTTGCTCCTTACTTAGGTGCGGCAGGGTGCTGGCTAAGTTGGCTAACCTCTGAGGGCCTCGGTATTCTATTTTTGGGTACTGGGGATTGAAGCCAGAGGTGCTCACAGCCCCAGACTTTTTAATTTTGAGACAGGGTCTCTCTAAGTTGCTTAGGGTCTCCCTGAGTTGCAGAGGCTGGCCTTGAACTTGCAGTCCTCCTGCCTCAGCCTCCTGAATTGCTGGGCTTCAGGAGTGCACCATGGTGCCCGGCAAGGGCCTTGACATTCTTATCTGCGCAGTGGGTCCCTGTGGGGACTGCGAGAGCGCGTGCATGACAGGACACGGGGGCAGGCCCCTGGGACAGAGCCGTGAGTGATAAGTGCCTCCTGCCCGTGGACATTTTGGTTCCTGACAGCAGTGCTGCCCAGCGCTCTCCTTACGCCCCAGCTCTGACGGGTGTGTTCCGGGGCCAGCCAGGGCGGTCTTCCCCGATCCCTCTAACTTTTCCCTCCCCTCCATCATTCATTCCTTTCTGGGGTGGCGGTGCTGCCTCGTGCTGACCTACAGGAAACCCCTGTGGATCCGATGTGGACCCTCCTGTCCTGTTGGCCGTCCCATTTCTTCATGCCCTTCCTTGTTGAAGGAGCTTCCTCGGTTTGGATGTCAATCACGGCATTCACATTCCACCACTGGGCGCTGCCTGGGCCTTCCCTGCCCGCCTTCCCAGGGTCCCAGAGGTGTGTTCTTCCGTGGACCTTATACCTGACCTCCCGCCAGAGGGTCTGCACTCCCTGTTGTCCCTGAGTGTCTTTTCCTGCTGCCTCCTGACACCCACCCTGTCACCATGGAGCCACCTGGACCTGAAACTCCAGAGGAATCTTGTCAACCAAGCCTGACTCCCGCCCCCCAGGGTTCTTCAGGTTACACTCCAGGGAGGCGTGGAC